AGTTCATACATAAGAGATTCTGCAGCTTTTACACATCTTTCACCTCTTCTTCACATCTTTCGTCAATCTTAGGTAGTAGACTTTAAAAATCAGGAACATTTTCTGAAGTACAAAAGTGTTTACAAGTGCACAAACTACAAAATACACTTCATTGAACATGTTTGAAGATTTATTATCAACACACTTTCTCAGACTGTGCTATAAAGAGCAGGTTTGATGTGTAAAATGGCCCCATGTCCTCAGGGTTTCTTCACCACCTGTTGGAACAGAAGAAACACGTTAAAGGCAACAAACACACTTTCCTTTGCCCTGAAAACAGATGAATGAAGGGAACCCAGCGTGTGTTTTCTTACCTTTCAACATTTGTACAGCGTGTTCAGTCTGCTGATGTCGTTCCTGCTCATCTGATTGGCCGTGCCGAACTCTACGTTGGCGTTGGGGATCGGCACCATGGTGGGCATATTGTTCCCGCTGAAGGCATACCTGGAAACATTAAGAGCACAGAGGCTTCATTATTATTAGCTTGTATATATATTAAACATTTAGAAACCATTGAGACTCAAATGCTCCTAAACGAGTCGGTTCAGTCACCAAAACAAATCTGATCTATCTCATTATTATGAAGACATATTTATTGTGTAAATGAGAAAAAGGCCCATAAGGCAGTGTAGGTAAATTGTATATTTTGCATTTCTTTGAGAGCTTGGGACCTGTTTTAATCCTGGTTTCACTCTTATCAATGTTATGCATTTAAATATTATCTATCATTATTATTTGTCAACTGTTTATTCATTCCGTCGCTGTAATAACTTCATTTAGCTGCTTTATTAAGAAAAATAATAAAAGAAGAGATGGGTTGGACTATTCAACATTTTTTAAGAAGAAGAGCTGAAGAAGAGAAGCTCTGAGGTGGAGCAGCTCTCACGCTCTGAAGACCAGCTCCACCTCCTCCAAAGCTTCACGTCCCTGAACGCTGCTCCACCCACCAAGAACTGGACAGAAGTCAGGGTCCGTCCTTCATATGAGGGGACTGTGAGGAGAGCTGTGACTCAGCTGGAGGAGACGCTCAGTAAACAGATGAAGAAGCTGCTCGAGCTGAAGAGGGTCCAGCAGTATGAGGTGGAGGTGACTCTTGATCCTGATACAGCACATCCCACACTCATCCTGTCTGATGATGGAAAACAAGTGAAAGACAGTGATGTGAAGAAGAATCTCCCAAACAATCCAAAGAGATTTGATAAGTGTCCTTGTGTTTTAGCAAAGCAGAGTTTCTCTTCAGGAAGATTTTATTACGAGGTTCAGGTTAAAGGGAAGACTGGGTGGGATTTAGGAGTGGCCAGAGAGTCGATCAACAGGAAGGGACTCATCACAGGGTCTCCTCAGAAAGGTTACTGGACGATAGTGTTGAGGAATGAAAATGAGTACAAAGCTTTTGCTGACCCTGGAGTCCGTCTCTCTCTGAAGTCTCAGCCTGAGAAGGTGGGGGTGTTTGTGGATTATGAGGAGGGTCTGGTCTCCTTTTATGATGTTGATGCTGCAGCTCTGATCTACTCCTTCACTGGCTGCTGCTTCAAAGAGAAACTCTACCCATACTTTGGTCCCAGTCCTAATTAAGGTGGTAAAAACTCTGCCCCTCTGATCATCTCTCCTGTCAATCACACTGAGTAGAACAAACATTTGATTTTCTTCAGAAAGAGTCACTCTCACTAAATGTAATAAATGTATTCAACTGGGGAAGTACATTGTACACATTGTTAATGTTTCAGAATCTGATCACATATGGTTCACCTTGATGAGATGCATAAAAACACATAAAATACTGATGAGTATGTTCTAATGTACTCTAGTTTAATAACTTTTTCACAGAATTTGACTTTTTTTTCATAATTTTCACTTTTCCTCCTAATTGGATTATTTTCTCATATTTTATAACTTTTTTCTCAGAATTCAAACTTTTTTGCAGATTTTGACTTTTTTCTCACAATTTCACTTTTTCTCAGAATTAGACTTTTTTTCATATTTTGATAATTCGAACTTACCCGAAAATACGTAAATTCTTAATGTTCCTCACCTGTCCAGGCTACTTGTAGTCCTAGCAGGGGCGGACTGGCCATTGGGAATACCGGGAGTTTTCCAGGTGGGCCGGTACCGAAGTGGGCCGGTCGGACAATTCACTGAGCTGCGGGTCAACACTTTCATCTCTGAGATGGCTGCTCAGTTGAAAGCCAGCAGCAGCAGCTCAGAGCAACACGTTGTCAAACCAGGAGAAGTTCCCTGTGACGTCTGCACTGGAACCAGACTGAAGGCCCTGAAGTCCTGCATGATGTGTCTGGAGTCCTACTGTGAGACTCACCTGGAGCCTCACCTGACAAGGTCAGGCCTGAAGAAACATCAACTGATCGACCCTGTGGAGAACCTGGAAAGCAGGATGTGTGTGAAGCACGATAAACTGCTGGAGCTGTTCTGTCAGACCGACCAGGTGTGTGTCTGCATCCACTGCACCTATTCAGACCACAAGACACATGATGTTGTTCCTCTGAAAGAAGAATATGAAGGAAAGAAGGCTGAGCTGGGGAAGACAGAGGCTGAAATTCAGAAGATGATCCAGAAGAGACGACTGAAGATTCAGGAGGCTTCCCGATGGCCTGGCCTGTTAAGTGGCCTGCCTCACACAGGGTGACTGGCTGTCTACATGATGTGGCCTGCCGACATGGCCACTGTCATACAGATCATAAATCAGAGCCCTTGATTGGTCTCTGTGTGTCATTCAAGCTCGGGATAACCTCAGCTCAGGTGAGGTAAAGGACTCTCTGAGTGTTTAGATAATAACTTAGTCTAAGTTCTCAGTGGGTCTCAAACGGTTTGGTCACCATTTATGTAAACACATATTTCCATTTGAGGGGGGAGTGATTAGTAACATATGCATGAATTAAAAACATTTTTTTTAAAGTTAACTAGGGGGAAAAAGGTAAGATACACTTTTAAAACTTGTTGAGAGCTAAAACTAGTCTTTGCTGCTGCCTCAAAGAGGAGAAGGGAGGAGAGGAGGGAGACAGGTGAGGCTGGTTCAGGAGCACAGACACACTCACAACTAGAAATGAAACAAAAATAAATAAATAAACAAGTTTCAGTGTTTTTCATATTGGAAATGGTATGTTATTGGTTATGGCCATGATTTTATGATTATTGAAATGTATACAGTTCTGTTTCATATAGGTGTTTCCATAAATCTAGTCTCTTTATTTTCCTCTCAAAATGCACCAGATGCATTAAACTTCAAAATTAAAATTAAAATTAAAATCTTACCGGGGGAGCATGCCCCCGGACCCCCCTAGAGGATTTGAGGTCTACCCCCACTTAAAATTACATGGATAGGTTCCTAAATACATTTAGAATTTTTTTTTAAATAGTAACCCATGTCCATATGTGTATTTGTGGGTAGTAGATTTAAACTATAGGGCTTTCACTATGGGCCCTGCCTGTACCTGTTCACTCTGCCATCGCGTGAAGGGTCTGCTAACAAGCGACCAACAGAAAGGTTAATGTTGTTGCACGTCACCTCAACCCCCCCCCCACCCCCTGCTACCACCACCCCCCCAAGTATATTTCAGATCTGTGGGAAACACTGCTTTTAGTCTACCTTACCATCATCCAAGGGTAGTTTTCACTATAAGTAAAAAAGAATGTTTGTACGGACACTATAATTTACAGTTTTTTTCTATGTTCAATCTGAATTTTCTTTAAAATAAAAAACATCTATATTGATTCTGACTTTTCTACATCCAACTCGCAGGTTTATCATTACTTTGAGAAAAAAGATTATTAATTTTCCCCTTTTAGAAGGGAAGATATGGTCATTTGTTCTGGGAATGTCATTTTCGAGCCTGAGACCTGAAAAACAGGCTTGGGGTCTAACAGGTTAAAGACTGTTGATAGATGCCTTACTGACTTTGACCTTTAAAAAACGAGAGCACAAAAAGAACTCACTGACATTGAACTGTCTGACTGACTGAGTGCATGTAGTGGAAGAAGTATTAAAGAGGCACTGTTATGCTTTTGGGGTTTCCCCTTTCCTGTAGTGTGTTCTGGAGGTTTGTGTGCATGTGAATGGTCTGCTAAATAATACATATTACATAAAAAATACTCAGATCTTGAACTTGAGTAAAAGTACTCAGAACTTGTACTTGAGTAAAAGGAGAAGTACTCAGATCTTGTACTTGAGTAAAAGTAGAAGTACCAGAGTGTAGGAATACTGTTTCAGTAAAAGTCCTGTGTTAAAATGTTACTCAAGTAAAAGTAGAAAAGTATTATCATCAAAATATAGTTAAAGTAGCGACAGTAAAAGTAGTCATTGTACAGATTGGTCCATTTCAGAATAATATATACGATATGTTTTATAATGATTGATCATTAAAGTGTTATCAAAGCTGGTAAAGGTGCAGCTAGTTTGAATGACTTTGTATACTGCAGGGTAGCTTGTGAATTTACTCCAGGTGGAACAAGTAACTAAAGGTATTAAAGGTGGGGTAGGTAAGTTTGAGAAACCGGCTCGAGATACACTTTTTGTTATATTCCATGGAATGCTCTTAACATCCCGATAGCAATGAAAATAACTGGATGGCCTACCTGCCTGTCAGCCTTCAATCTGTGCACAAACTTATCTCGTGCCCTCATTGGTCATGTGCGCGTTCGTGTGTGTTGGAGGAGGGGCTCTGTAAGGAAGTGGCAGATTTCTTCCGGTTGTGTATTTTTAAATTCTAGCGCACTCGAGCTGGTTTCTCCAAAATTACCTACCCCACCTTTAAAAACATGTAGAGGAGTAAAAGTACACCATTTACCTCTGAACTGTAGTGGAGTAGAAGGACAAAGTAGCAACAAATGGAAATACTAAAGTACAAGTACCTCAAAATGGTGCTTAAATACAGTACTTGAGTAAATCTACTTAGTTACTTCCTACCTCTGCTACTCCTTTGCAGATAAAACTTGATTTAGTCTCGTACCGTAGTGCGAGGCGATGACATACGGCACGTAGATCTTCCCATCTGCAGATTTCGCCCACATGCAGCTGGCGGAGGTGCAGGGGTCAGCATTCCTCTCGCTCTCACTGTCGTACGCAATGTCATCCATAACGAGGGGTTCCTTATCTGTGCGAACAGCAGGAGGACAGAAATACAATATAATACAAGTATAAATAATATAATCACAGGATCTAGCAGTGAGGAACGAAGTCAATGCATATAAATACACACAATACAATTTAAATGAGAAGTAAAAAGCAAATTATGTATATTATTATAATAAATAACATTAGTAGGGCTCCTTATCTGTGTGTAACAGGCCCCGCTATGCAGGGCGCGATAACAGATAATATTCCTGCAAAACAGGAGAAATTATGAACAACCAAATTATTTGCTGCTTGTTTGGTGGGTCTTGCCAGAATTTATTATTCATTTGGCACACACACAATTGTTATTGCCCTTAACCATTTGACACAACACACACACAATTGTTAATGCCATTTTCTGTCTTCAATATAAACATATATATTCATGTCTTCAATATATTTGAAATAAACACCATGACTTAAAATAAGAATTTCTCTATTCAGATATCGATGTTGTAATCAAACCCTTTTAAATACCTTCCCAGGTCTTTAAAGGTAATCTGTGCTAGCATTAGCATCCAACAAGCATGTATGTATTAACTCTGACCATAGAACACATACAGATAATACATAACACACACACAAAATACTTAGGATATAAACCCAGAAAATATATAAGCACAAAATGTACAGGAGCTGTAAACAATTGCATTTACTTGCATTCACTTTGATCAGAGAGCTCAGTTATGCTACATTAAAATAGCGACCGCCATTACACACAGCAATGAGGCAGTCTTCTACGCGGCATTGAAGACAATAAACAATGTCCAACACCAATTCAAACACTAGGACATCGTGACACAACACTACCGTTGATATTAATAACACTTGTGACAATATGTACACACAACTGACCTGCAAAACAGGAGAAATGATGAACAACCAAATTCTTTGCTGCTCGTTTGGCGGGTCTTGCCAGAATCAATGGCAAGCCAACGGCAGCTCCGTCTCCACGTCAGTCGTTTATGGCAGACGCAAATCATAAAAAAAACCTTCACGGCAGTGCTACCCTGCCATCTACTGCCCCCTGCTGTCCATTGTTAAACAGGTTTCTAAAATGATATTAAATATAAACATAAAATTGTGATCACACACTTTGTGTGGGTCACACACTCCCCGACAAAGAAAAATGGCTCCCGACATTAACCATCAACCTCTTAACTTGTGCCCCTTCTCTTTGAACTTAAAACACTTATACACACTCTCACAAGGGCACTTCTTTAAATGTACAGGTGAATACAATATGTATGAGAGTGGGTGTAACAATCTTTCCTTCTCAATATGCATGTATGTATGGCAGCATTACAGTGTAAGGCAGTGTCTGGGGTGTAATACTTAGATCTTGTACTTGAGTAAAAGTAGAAGTACTCAGAACTCTTTCAAGTCATTGATTTTATATTAAACACTATTTCTTACCAAAGGAACTGTTAGCAAATGGGAATATAATTGATGATAGATTTTCCAATACAGATGTTCTGTGATATTTTTCTGTGAACTTGAAACTGAGTGTTTCTATAGTTTACTTACATAAAATATATTTTGTTAAAGGTGGGGTAGGTAAGTTTGAGAAACCGGCTCGAGATACACTTTTTGTTATATTCCATGGAATGCTCTTAACATCCCGATAGCAATGAATATCTTAAGTGCTTTGACAAAAAATCCATAAAAAATGTTCATCTGTGGAAGCTGTAATACTGTAAAAAGCACGACCAATCATTTTAGCCGGCCCAGCTAAAATAACTGGATGGCCTACCTGCCTGTCAGCCTTCCATCTGTGCACAAACTTATCTCGTGCCCTCATTGGTCATGTGCGCGTTCGTGTGTGTTGGAGGAGGGGCTCTGTAAGGAAGTGGCAGATTTTTTCCGGTTGTGTATTTTCAAATTCTAGCACACTCGAGCTGGTTTCTCCAAAATGATCTACCCCACCTTTAAGTGGAAAAAGAGCAATCGGATCCCATTGAGTTCGTATTTGTAAAAGTCCAATAGTTGCAGAATCTGAGTTAATATACATAACTAGAGCATTTCAATTTGATGCAAATGTATACTTCTACTTCACGGAGGAAGATCAGGGCCACATGTGAAATCAAATATTTATTGAGATTTTTGTGTTTAATGTATGTCTGAATTTATTTGGGGGAAATTGAAATCTGACCAAAAGTGTAATTCTTTAAAAAAACAAGGTCAGAATTTGAAAACTTTTGGTCAGATCTCAACAAAATATTTCAGTTGTGGCACTAATCATCTTCTGTACAACTCCAAATATTATATATACTTTTGACTCGACCACAATTATTTTGGCAGCTTCAGTTACTTAACAATTACTTAAAGGTCACCTATTATGCAAAATCCACTTTGTCATGTCTCTTCTACATCAACTTGTGTTCCCTCTTCTTCATATCTCTTCTACATCAACATGTGTTCCCTCTTCTTCATATCTCTTCTACATCAACATGTGTTCCCTCTTCTTCATGTCTCTACTACATCAACATGTGTTCCCTCTTCTTCATGTCTCTTCTACATCAACACGTGTCCCCTCTTCTTCATGTCTCTTCTTCATCAACATGTGTCCCCTCTTCTTCATGTCTCTTCTACATCAACATGTGTCCCCTCTTCTTCATGTCTCTTCTCCATCAACATGTGTCCCCTCTTCTTCATGTCTCTTCTACATAAACATGTGTCCCCTCTTCTTCATGTCTCTTCTACATCAACATGTGTCCCCTCTTCTTCATGTCTCTTCTACATCAACATGTGTCCCCTCTTCTTCATGTCTCTTCTACATCAACATGTGTCCCCTCTTCTTCATGTCTCTTCTACATCAACATGTGTCCCCTCTTCTTCATGTCTCTTCTACATCAACATGTGTCCCCTCTGTGGAAAGAGACTCTGAAAGTTTCAGGAAAAAATATTCGCTCACTTTTTGTCCTGATCCATTTATATAAAAACCTGTCTGAAAATGAGCTGATCAGATTTTGGACAATTTATGATGTCATAACGATGTTTTGTCTTGTGTAACCATTAGCCAATCAGCAACCAAGGTAACCCCCCCCCACCTTATCACCTGAATCTCCTCCTAGAGCACCATTGTGTTCTTTTTAACCAAATCTCTCTCAGAGGGGCGTGGGGAGGGGCTCCTTATTTTCATCTAAAGTAACAGACAGAGAATCAGCACTTTTGAAACAGGGCTGAAACAGAGGGGATTATGGGATGCTGCAATGATCTGTTTGCTGTTTCAGCCAATCAGAGACAGGTTCTGTATATATCTGAGACCTATAATATATTGATGAAAAACAGTATAATAGGGGACCTTTAAATACAAAATCAACAAATGATTGATGATGCTTTTCCAATTACATAATATATACCTTTATGCACCAATTTGTGCTTTTGGTAAGTTACGTTTGTTTTGATGCTGACATTTGAAACAGACACTAAAAGTAATACGAGTTTGAGTTCATACATAAGAGATTCTGCAGCTTTTACACATCTTTCACCTCTTCTTCACACCTTTCTTCAATCTGAGGTAGAATAATTTAAATTCAGGAACAGTTTCTGAAGTACAAAAGTGATAACAAGTTCACAAACTACAAACTACACTTCATCGAACATGTTTGAAGAATTATTATCAACACACTTTCTCAGACTGTTATAAAGAGCAGGTTTGATGTGTAAATTGGCCCCATTGAGCACAGAGGCTTCATTATTATTAGATTGTATATATAACATTTAGAAACCATTGAGACTCAAATGCTCCTCAAAATTTCACTTTTTCTCATAATTTATTTTTCATAATTAGATTTTTCAAAGATTTTAATTTTTTCTCAGAATTCAAACTTACCCAAAAATATATAAATTTTTAATGTTACTCACCTGTCCAGGCTACCTGTAGTCCAAAGGTATTTTTTTTTCAAATAAAAACAAACCTTTTTGAAACATATTTTGCTGTTTTTGGGTCTGTAGAAATACATTTGCACTTTTATTTCTTGGGCTCTCCTGACTGCAATTCAAGCCTCAGTTCTGTCTACAATTCATTGTTTTGGGTGAACTGTTCCTTTGACTTATATCCAATATATGCGTATATAAATGAAGATGAATGCTTGGTAACCTGTGGTACTGCATGACGGAGTTGTAGTCGTATGGTGTGTTCAGGTTCAGCGTGTTTATCTTGTCGAAGGCGTACGCCCAACCTGAGAGGACGAGAATCACAGCGAGGGTCAGAAATCACAGAAAATGAACTTCACCCCATTCCTCAGATCATTGTGAAGTTAGTTGTGTATTAGATGAGTGTAAAACATGAAAGGGTTGATCAATACAGGATTTAAAGTGACATTATTTGGCTGTGATTTCAATGTATTCCCATGGAGTTGCATCCATTATGAATAAAACTAACAGTAAGTCAATTTAGCATGATCTACTTTTCATCAGTGTTCAAATTAGATTGGATTTGTTCTGAGCAGAATGATATAAATGCAGAGTTTTCACTTTCTGTTTTGCTGAATGGGAAACAGAATCTCTTAGCTCACCAAAAAGCTGACCTTAACACCAGTGCCTAGATCTACAAAATGTCACCCAAAGACACAAGTATAAACCAAGGAGAGACTCAAGGGGCAGACAAAAAGACAACAATCAGATGCAAAAGAGCTGCGAGAAGACCAAAGAAACTACAAAGACATGAAAAACAGCTGCAAAACAACACGAAGAAACTATGAAAAGTCTGAAAATAACAACAGATACTTAAAGAAACTCCAAAGAGAGTCAAAATGACTATGTGATATGTTTTCAAAGACTCAACATGACTACTAAGGCACTCAGAATGACCACAATGGTACACATAATGACCACAATAAGACAAGACATGTCCACAAAGTGGCACAAAGAGACACTTAATCACCACAAAGAGACACTAAATGACTGCAGAGAGACAGTCAATTACCAAAAGAGACACTTAAGGCCTACAAAAGACTCAAAACGACTCTGAGGAGACTAATAAGGACTTAAAAGTTACACAAAATAATCAAAACAACACACAAAAAGACTACAAAGAGACACAACATGACCACAGAGAGACTCAAGTGACTAAAAAGTTACATAAAATGTCTCTAAAAAGCCCAAACATGACTACAAAGAGACAGAAGGTGTCTACAAATACACTCACAATGGCCATAAAAAGACAAAACTTGACTACAAAGACACTCATTATTTCATATCTGGAGTTTTTGCACTTTGTATTTTATATTTCTTAAATTGTGTTCACTGTTGCCTGCATAAGGGACTTTGCCTCTCTTCAAAAGTTGACATGTGCTCTTCCTCAGAGTGACAGAAGAGCTCAAACTGTTCTCTGCTAATGTTTGTCCTGACGTCTCACTGTTTACCTTTCACTCTACAACAAGCGTCTTTGTCCGGAGGGATTTGAAGAATGAGTGGCACGTACGCAGCACAAAGCGCAGTGTGCTGAGGAATCTGCTCTCCACTGAGGCGTGTGTTGTGTTCTCACTTAAGAAGAATGGTCTGAACGCACGCTGAGGAAACCAGTTCTCACTCACCTTGACTTTTTGTCTGCGTTCCAAATCGCATACTTTTCTCTTTTTAGTATGCTACCTGGAACTTTGAACCTCTTCCTCATACTTGTCTGCACGAAGGATTTTGGTCCAGGTTATCCAGAAAATACGGGGGTCAACCGGTGCAAACACTTCCATTCAGACATTTAAAGGGGTCCTTTTATGTTTTTTTGGGGTTTTCGATTACCTGTATTGTGTTATATATTTGGGTGCATGTAAATGGTGTGGTTTCAGACAGAGGGTGAAAAGTTAGGTGCCTTGCTCAAGGGCACTTCGGCAGTGGCCCAGGAGGTGAACTGGCCCCTCTCCAGTACCAGTCCATACTCTGTATTCTTTGGTCTGATCGGGACTTGAACCGGCAACCCTTCGGGCCAAAGACCAATCCCCTACAGACTGAACCACTCCCGCCCCTTGAACTCCACAAGCCTTTACTCCTCATATTTCTTACAAGACCCATTTTCAAACAGTCTGTTCAGGGAGGAGGAAGTGTTTCACCAGCTGCTCTCAAACAGGGACCATAACACAGCGTTGTGAAATATAGCTATACATCTTGTTGATAAATAATGATCTTCTCGCTCCCAGGAAAGAAACTTAAAATAATGAGACTAATGGAGTCTCTGAAAAGGTTCAAATGGGTAGTTTAATTAAGTAACGTGGTTAAAGGACAAGCATAGGTAAGGAAGAGACAAAGTCGGTGATGTCTTCAGGTGGCTGCAGCGAAGGAAAGAGAGCGAGTTGTCCTCTCTCCTCCCTTTTTATCCTCCTCTCGTTCTCCCCCGCTGTGCAGATAGTGGGACCTCCCTTCTCATCTGCTGGTTCGATATCGTGAGAGAACAGATGATTTCGACATTTTGTATTCCCTGCCTACTTCCTTAAGCCTTTTCTCCTCCTTATCTCTGTGATGACTTTCTATTTAATACCTTATAAACAGCTGTAATACTTAGTTTAGAAGTCCTAACAACACCGCTACGGCACAGTTCTCATTTATGGTAGCTCCCTCTGACGTCATAGCTACTCACGTAATGTGTAAACACTCTATGATCAACTGTACCTTCATTTAATATTCAGCAGTAATAATATCTCAACGTCTATCGATGTAGTGTTAAAGTCCGTACGTTTTGGTGTATAACACTCCATGTCATTTTCACTTTACATTCAGAAAACGTAATATTAGCCACATGCTAACTGCTAACCGGATATGAAGGATTTTCAGAATAAAAGCTTGGCATTGAGATTTCCTGAGAACTTCCGGGTTTTTCCACAATAAAACAGCTTTAAACTGACGATATGTTTTAGACTGAATTATGCTGTTTAACATTGATTTTAATTTCTAACAATATCCAGATGTGTAAAGAGATCCTTTATGTGTTGAGAACATATTCCTACTTATGCTCAATACACTATTTGAAAAGCCTCTTGGATCAGCTGTAAAATGCATCGTCACAAAGTTAAATAACAAGCCTCAATAGTTCTTCCTCCACTCCCTCTTGGCAAAAAGCCACTGACAGGTTGAACTACAATATAAGAGAAGAGTTTCAATTTCCCAGAAATCAAAGCTGAAGTTTGTCTGAGCGACAGCAGAGCAGCAGCCGAGACAAGTCTCTGTTTCTCTGAAGAAACACTCAACTGAATCCAGAAGCTTTTTCTCAACAACACAGCAGGACTCTGCAAACACTGGTGAGTACACTACAGACACATCACTTACTACATATTTAGTCAAAGTTGGATTCATATAAAGAACATTATACTATAGAAATGTGTCAGTTAAGATAAAAACCTCAACTTTTACATTAGCAAGAGCCACAAATACAATGTAAACTCTGTTTAAAGGTGGGGTAGGTAAGTTTGAGAAACCTGCTCGAGATACACTTTTTGTTATATTCCATGGAATGCTCTTAACATCCCGATAGCAATGAATATCTTAAGTGCTTTGACAACAAATCCATTAGAAAATGTCATCTGTGGAAGCCGTAGTACTGTAAAAAGCACGACCAATCATTTTAGCCGGCCCGGCTAAAATAACTGGATGGCCTACCTGCCTGTCAGCCTTCCATCTGTGCACAAACTTATCTCGTGCCCTCATTGGTCATGTGCGCGTTCGTGTGTGTTGGAGGAGGGGCTCTGTAAGGAAGTGGCAGATTTTTTCCGGTTGTGTATTTTCAAATTCTAGCGCACTCGAGCTGGTTTCTCCAGAATTACCTGCCCCACCTTTAAGTTAGGTTAGAGAGCATACAGTCAAAGCTAGCATTAGCTTATACTTATTTTCATATTTCCTATATTTGAAAACATCTTTATAATTGACTCTATTAAACAAAGTAGAATCTAAATATTATATGTGTTCTGGACTGTCCAAAGCAAGGGATCTGGTGTTATGTTACAAGTGTTGCTTATAAAAAGGCATGACAATTACATATTTCCTCTTATCTTATTTGTACACACTGTGGTACGTAGCCTTGAGCTTTGAATCTGTTTCTGTAGTAACTGCTGTCTGCCTTTTGAAGCTGATAACGTTTACTGTTTTTTAACAACTAGTATTAACTTCAGTGATGCTCAGCAGGAGGTTTCACTCCTCTGTTCAACAACGGCAAAATCCCCCAAAAGTATTAGAGCTTACACATTGTGTTTCTTAGAGTTTAAACTTAATGCTGCTATGATTTTCCAGATTTAATTATAATATTAACAAACAGAGAGATTCTTTAACCTTTAACAATAACAGTGAACTGCAAATTTGAGCAATCTTTCACCCTCCGCATAATCATGATACATCAGCAGAGTTCAGTATCACCATCTATTTGACTTATAGCAAACAGATACAAGAGATTAAATCATATATACATTACAGTTTTTGTTTTTTTCACACGTTTTGTCCTCAGAGAGACATGTCTGCTGCCAGCTGTCTGCTGACTGAAGATCAGTTTCTGTGCTCCATCTGTCTGGATGTGTTCACTGATCCAGTCACCATACCATGTGGACACAACTTCTGTAAAGCCTGCATCTCTGAACACTGGGATAGAAATGTCCTGTGTAACTGTCCCAACTGTAAAAAGCTCTTCTTCCCAAGACCTGAGCTGCTGGTCAACACTTTCATCTCTGAGATGGCTGCTCAGTTCAGACAGTCAGCTCAACAGAAAGCCAGCAGCAGCAGCTCAGAGCAACAAGTTGTCAAACCAGGAGAAGTTCCCTGTGACGCCTGCACTGGAACCAGACTGAAGGCCCTGAAGTCCTGCCTGGTGTGTCTGGAGTCCTACTGTGAGACTCACCTGGAGCCTCATCTGACGAGGGCAGGTCTGAAGAAACATCAGCTGATCGACCCTGAGGAGAACCTGGAAGGCAGGATGTGTGTGAAGCACGATAAACTGCTGGAGCTGTTCTGTAAGACCGACCAGGTGTGTGTCTGCATGCTCTGCACTGTTTTAGACCACAAGACACATGATGTTGTTCCTCTGAAAGAAGAATATGAAGGAAAGAAGGCTGAGCTGGGGAAGACAGAGGCTGAAATTCAGCAGATGATCCAGAAGAGACGACTGAAGATCCAGGAGATGAATCGCTCAGTGGAGCTCAGTAAGGAAGGAGCAGACAGAGAGATAGCAGATGGTGTTCAGGTCTTCACCGCTCTGAAGGAGTCTGTTGAGAGAAGCCAGGCCGAGCTCATCGACACCATCAAAGATAAGCAGAGAGAGACAGAGGAACAGGCTGAAGGCTTCATCAAAGAGCTGGAACAGGAAATCTCTGAGCTGAAGAAGAGAAGCTCTGAGGTGGAGCAGCTGTCACGCTCTGAAGACCAGCTCCACCTCCTCCAAAGCTTCACGTCCCTGAATGCTGCTCCACCCACCAAGAACTGGACAGAAGTCAGGGTCCGTCCACCTTCATATGAGGGGACTGTGAGGAGAGCTGTGACTCAGCTGGAGGAGACGCTCAGTAAACAGATGAAGAAGCTGCTCGAGCTGAAGAGGGTCCAGCAGTATGAGGTGGAGGTGACTCTTGATCCTGATACAGCACATCCCAGACTCATCCTGTCTGATGATGGAAAACAAGTGAAACATGTTGATGTGAAGAAGAATCTCCCAGACAATCCAGAGAGATTTGATTATTGTGACTGTGTCTTAGCAAAGCAGAGTTTCTCTTCAGGAAGATTGTATTACGAGGTTCAGGTTAAAGAGAAGACTGATTGGGATTTTGGAGTGGTCAGAGAGTCGATCAACAGGAAGGGACAGATCTCACTGACTCCTCAGGATGGTTACTGGACGATATGGTTGAGGAATGAAAATGAGTTCAAAGCTCTTGCTGGTCCTTCAGTCCGTCTCTCTCTGAAGTCTCAGCCTGAGAAGGTGGGGGTGTTTGTGGATTATGAGGAGGGTCTGGTCTCCTTTTATGATGTTGATGCTGCAGCTCTGATCTACTCCTTCACTGGCTGCTGCTTCAAAGAGAAACTTTACCCATACTTTAGTCCTTGTCCTAACGATGGGGGTAAAAACTCTGCCCCTCTGATCATCTCTCCTGTCAATCACACTGAGTAGAACAACCATTTGATTTTCTACAGAAAGATTCACTCTCACTAAATGTAATAAATGTATTCAACTGGTGAAGTACATTGTACACATTGTTAATGTTTCAGAATCTGATCACATATGGTTCACCTTGATGAGACGCATAAAAACACATAAAATACTGATGAGTATGTTCTAATGTACTCTAGTTTATTCTACGGATTGCACTTCCTGCCGTCATGACTTGAAGTGATCAGAAAACTATTTACTCAGAAATTAACTTTTGCCACTTCTTTATATGTCAGGGGGACAAGAAAAGTATTTATTGTCTCAGAATTGTGTGTTCAAAAAGTGTTTCATACTTGCACACATTACTAGTGGAAGTAATGCACTCCTTTTTCATTAGTAAAATACTGTATATATATATATATATATTTTTATAATTTCCAATTGAGGGGAAAATGATGGGTCTCTGGTGTGTTTTAAAGGGGAAGTTCAGGATTGATTATTGAATTACAGTATATTGGTACAAAATGTATTGACAGTTACTTGGAGAATCAACAATATCTGATCATTAAACATTAGGCTGCAGTGGTTTAACAAACCAGGGAAATTTAAATTTCAGCTGTCTGTTGTGTTGTGTTAATTGTATTTCGTCCACCTCTCTGCACACTGCTTGTAAAGTTTGAACAAAGCCTCAATGGATTAAAAAAAAGGAACAAAGAATATTATTTATTTTGTTTTTTTTGTTTAAATGTACTTACTGAAGTACAGTTTTCACTAGTTCTCAACTTAGGGAAAGTATCTTAAAAAAATGTACTTGACTATTTCCATGTCTACTTAACAACATTTGTCTGATAGATTTGGTTCTTCTGAAGCTTTATGAACTATTTAAAACCCTCTTGGATCAGCTGATCATAGATATTAAGATTGCTGTATATGTTTGTTAGAGATAAGGCCATCAACTGGTTAGCTTAGCTTAGCATAAAGACTGGAAACAGAGGAAGACAAAGCCAGCCTGTCCAAAGGTAACAAAATCCACCTATCAGCAGCTCTGAATCCAGTTTGTTTAATCCATACCAAATCAGAGGAGTAAAAACATCAATAAGACGTTTAACAGGGGATTATGGGTCGGGCTATTTCTTGACTGGGACCAAAACAAGTTGCCAAATTGTTTTTACATTTCAGTTTTCGTACAGAGATATATTAAGTACACTTAAATGTGTATTTTGTCACTCACTATTTCCCCCCTTTTCCTAGTATATATGCTAAACTAAGCTAATCTAAGTGTCTGATGGCTGCAGCCTGTGTCAGTGAGAGCGGTCTGACTGGTTGGACTGCTTCTAATGATTATGATCTCATTCTTCACCTTGAACACACTCCAGCACTGCCTGTACAGGTGAGACTAACTGACTGCAAACGTCCCGTCTGACTGGGAGATAAATAAAGGGTTTTGTAAATATCAAAATTGCATGAAATATGCTTGTAAAGTCTATTTTAATTAATGCCCTGTTTATAAGATGGAGCTTATCATTTGAAATGTCATTATTTTTAAAGAGGTGGATGGTGAATAATATTACAATTAAAAATGTTTCACTTTGTTTTTTATTACAGTACACGTTTTCTGAAATGTTATCTTTAAATATACTAACGCATACAGAAACAGCACAGAAATGTGTACACTGGTTAAAACCAGGATTAAATTCTTGTTTTATTGTCGACTTATTAGAGTCAAAGGTTTTCACAGAGGGGAGTTTTGATATGGGTTTGTACCACGACATCAATCCAGAAAAACTGTCACCAGCTTTTAAGAAAAATCTATTCTCCACATGTTTTTTAGGGAAACAGATGTTATAATCCTTAACGCAATCATCAAGAATCAGTCTATAAATCTGGCTATTGATAATATATGAACAAACCACTCAGAGTACAGATGGGAGTGAAACTCATTTGGAGAAAATAATCAAAAAAGGCCTTGTATTGTGAATATACATTTTGCAGTACACAGGTAAATAAGTTAAAAAAATAGTAACTAATTTTATAGTAAATAAGGGCAGTGTCTGCAAGATTCAATACAACCTGTCTGCACTGAGTAAACTAAAATATGCTATGAGACAGTGAACAAATGTGCAATCTCATAGTACGTCCCAACACACACAATATGTCTAAGAATACTTCAGTTGTACTGTGTGAATGAGGTCAAAGGTTATATTTCAATGTGTGCTCATTGAATTATACTGGAAGTAGTGCATCAGGTTGTTTCTGTGCTGAATGACAAACTAATTGACTTAACAACTGAGTATTTGCACTTGTGAGGGATCTTAAAGTCTGCTGATAGATGCCTTACTGACTTTGACCTTTAAAAAACGAGAGCACAAAAAGAACTCACTGACATTGAACTGTCTGACTGACTGAGTGCAAGTAGTGGAAGAAGTATTAAAGAGGCACTGTTATGCTTTTGGGGATTCCCCTTTCCTGTAGTGTGTTCTGGAGGTTTGTGTGCATGTACATGGTCTGCAAAATAATAAATATGACATCAAAAATACTTAGATCTTGTACTTGAGTAAAAGTAGAAGTACCAGAGTGTAGGAATACTCTGTTACAGTAAAAGTCCTGCGTTCAAAATGTTCCTCAAGTAAAAGTAGAGAAGTATCTCATATCAGATCTGTAAAGTAACTGAAGGTATTAAATACATGTAGTGGAGTAAATGTACACCTTTTACCTCTGAACTGAAGTGGAGTGGAAGTACAAAGTAGCAACAAATGGAAATACTAAAGTACAGGTTCCTCAAAATTGTGCTTAAGTACAGTACTTGAGTAAATCTACTTAGTTACTTCCCACGTCTGCTTCTCCTTTGCAGATAAAACTTGATTTAGTCTCGTACCGTAGTGATACACCTGAAAATGTGCATAATAGGGCGCGGTTTCAGTCCTGATGCATATATAAATATACAAATGTGCCAAAACAAACATCTTTACCCCCGTTACAACACATGCTAGGTTAGCTAGCTAACTTGCAGCAGATCTGCAATAATATCGGAAGGAATCAAGCGATCACATTGTTAAAATAATCAGTAAACATTTTTATTTTAGGTAAGTTTCCAACAACAGAGACAGTTGGCAAACGTTATAATCCCTGAACATCACTAAGTGCTCCGGCATTCACCACGCTGCTTTTGTTCAGCAGGGGGTGTTGTCTTTACTCTTGTCATCCAGTTTGTGTTTTTCTGTTAATTGTGTGTAATCAGCTGAGGTCTCCAAGCTGCCTCATTTAGAGATTTAAGTCAATGCCTCGAGCATAGTGCAGATTAGCTACAAACCTTGATGTGTTGTGTGTATTGTGCAAGTCCTTTAGCTTTGACTTTTTCCCTCAGTCATGCATTATAAACAAGCCTGCTTTAAAGTGCATGTGGTGGACCTTCTCCATCCAGCCCACGTCCTCTGCCCTCTTTACCCATCTGTGCATTTCCATGGCCACCAAGGCCTGGTATGATCAACCTCTTTCCCCCTCTGTCTGCGTCTCTTTGTGAGTTTGAATGTTTTGCACAGCTTGCCGCTCTGAGGCCCATCCAGCTTGTTTTGTGTCATGCCGCTCCCTCTTTTTTGATGTTAGCTTTCCAGATGTCTCAAAGTATTTCCTCAGAGGCGCCGGACGCTGTTTTCTGCCCCTACAAACTCTGGGCTTCATCGCCGCTCACTGACATTAAACAGGAGACGTGTCAGTGTGCGCTGCTCTGTCTGTCTGTTGGTTGGTTTCACTCTGTGTCTCTGTCTGTCTCTCTCTGTTTTCCTGGAGATGTGCCTCTCGTCCAGCTCTCTTGAGTACAGTGTACGACTAATATATATAATAAGAATATATATATTGTCGTGGCTTCCTTCCTTGTTTTTCTATCAAGCCACTAGACGCCTTAAACAGACATTTTTAACTCGTTTTCTTTCCTTTATCTTTGTGTTACTTACAGTTGAAGAGTTGCTTGGCCTCCGATGATTTTTGATGATATGATGCGATGTGTTTGCTCAAAATAAAATAACAAACTTGTACACATGCAACAAAGAAAAGAGGCCTTTACAATAGTCAAAACAAATAGGCAAAACTCAAATAAAATAACAAACAACTTAGGTGTTCTTTCTTTCTTGAAATATAACTTAATAACTTAAAGGGTAATTGAACGGTTAAAAACTGTTCCTCGACGGCGTCTTTCTGACAGGTTGCTGCCCATCACTGTCACTGAAAGGAGGCGCCGTGGGAATTGTAGTCTTTCATAGTGTGTTGACTACAGACGTCACGATTAGGTGGCCTTTCTTATAAAAACAAAATACTGGCTCTAACATATATACTTTGCAACTTATTTCTTTAGATTGTTTATGTTCGCACCACCAGATACCAAAGCAAATTCCTTGTATGTTTAAACGTACCTGGCAATAAACTTGATCCTGATTCTGAGGCATACTCTCTTATGCTTTGACCTCTTCTGTCTGGCCTTATATGAAGACAATTAAAGGACACGAACAACATGGCCTCTCTTCTGCCTGAAAGTAAAAGCAGTTCTGACATGTTGACGTTGTTCCCTCAGATATCTGCACTGCCTCTGAGAGAGAGAGTCCCGACGTGTCGCCTCAGGGCAGAGAGAGAGACAAAGATTTCAGAGACGTGTCCATCACTGAGGAGCGGGAGGAATGTGGGAGATCAGGATGGAGACGGTTGAGATTGACTTTCACTGATCGACAGACGAGGAAAGAGCCACACATGACTTGAAAAGGAAAGTTACATTAGCTTGAGAATGCTTTTGTGTCCTCCCTGCTGTATTGTCTTCCTTCAAAATAGAAAATGTTCTTTTGTTTGTGCTTCAGTTGTGTTTATTTACACTGCATAACGATCTTTAAAGAAGGATCACTGTGTAGATGACACTGAGGATGATTGTGCAAGCTGTGTTTTAAATAGTATGTGAACATAAATGTGTTATTTCACTTGTTTTTCATTGGCATTTCTGGATTGAGGCGTACATTTGAAACTTCTCATTAAAGTAAATGCTGATTTTCCATTCTGAGGGAAACACAATAGTTTTAGTGGTGATGCTTAAATACCTGTGTCATTAAAGCAGTTCTGTAAAGGTGTGTTAGCAGGTCTCTCCATGTGAACTGTGAGGATGTGTCGCCCCCTAGTGGACAAACATCTACACTTACATGCAGTCAAGATTTTTACTGTAGTTACATTCTGAGGTACTTTATTTTTATCTTGAATCTTTATGCATTAATTTGTCTTTCAAATAAAGTATACTGTGTTATTACCCCTGTCATTCATTCTATCAGAGTCCTTTCTGTACAAAGCCATCGTTGTTCATTCATTAAAAGCCGAGCAACGATCTGCAGAATGAAGCTGTTAATCAATATCAACATTAAACGTTCAAACACCTTCTTCTTTTTTTAGAGTATCGGAAGAAAGAGGTGGAAAATCATCTTCACATTATTGAGGTTTTAATAAAGAAAATACCTTTAATTTCCTCGATTAGAGCGGAAATGTCCTCCTTGAGTTCTAGTCAACAAGACTAAGAGATAAATGAAATGATGCTAACACCACAAACACTGTGTGTGTGTGTGTGTGTGTGTGTGTGTGTGTGTGTGTGTGTGTGTGTGTGTGTGTGTGTGTGTGTGTGTGTGTGTGTGTGTGTGTGTGTGTGTGTGTGTGTGTGTGTGTGTGTGTGTGTGTGTGTGTGTGTGTGTGTGACCTAGCATCACTATCCTTGTGGGGACCAAAAGTTGTTTACACAATCACGTGTGGGGAATCACGTAAGGGGAATCATTAATGGCAAAGCGTATGCGGCGGGGTTAAAACTTGTGTGTCCGAGGCTGCGTTTCACAACATCTGGTAAAAGACCTGGTAAGTGGGTTAAAAACATCTGGCTAAAAGAACCGAGGTTGACTTTGTTTAAAATCGGCATGCAGGTAAAATTAGTGTTAAAACATGATAAATAAATACATAAAAGTGCTTTTTTTTTAAATAAGTGCTTTTAAAAATAAGTGCCGGTAATAAAAATCACATCAACCCAAATGTTAAAATATGTAAAATATAAAACAAATATGTAAAATATAAAATATAAAATACACACGGGTTAGTAGGCACACGGGGAGGGGAGACATGGGACACGCCTCGGATGATGTTTTAAAAAAAACTTTATTAAGGGCTTATTTAAGGGTGTTTTAGAGCATGGATGTATAATAAGAACAGTTTAGGATACAGACCGGACTGGATGTTCTCCCACAGGATGATGCGGATGTGCTGGTCTCTGTCGGAGCGGCACTGCTCGTGATTGAACCCGAGCGTGTGCAGCAGCTCGTGTTGAACCGTGCTGTGATACAGGCAGCCCTGCCGGTCCAGAGACACCGTCTGGGAGTAGCCCCGACGCCCCACGTACGAGTAGCAGCTGCAACAAACACAACATTTACAGGTCTCCTATCATGCAAATTGCACTTTTTCATGCCCTTTGTACATAAAGATGTGTCCCCGGTGTGTCAGGGAACTCACAAAGTGTCCGAAAATAAAACCCTCTCTCTTTTTCTCCGTAACCAAATCTCTAAAAACGGGGGAACAACGGAGCTGATCCAGATTTGCGTCCAATATGACGTAATATCGGAAATGTGGGAGGGCTTTACACCCATGGCCCTTTCAGAAACGTTGCTATCAGAAACGTTGCTACGTGTTTTGGACGTAATATGGTCTTTGTTTACATTAGCAAGCATCGCTAACACTCAGAGCTAACCTGTACTGGAGAGAGTATGTGTAAAAAAACAGGAAATACAAAAAAAGGATGCCTCAAAATAGTACAATAGGAGACCTTCAAGAATCATAATCTGTTTTTTTGCCAAGTAGGTTTATAAATACGAGGTTTACCCGCCGTCTGACTGGATGTTCAGGAAGTCTCTCTGGCTCGTGCGTCTGACGAAGCGAATGCAGGAAACATCGTGGAAGGAAGTCAGGCCGCGCTCGATGATGGAGCGCTCACGAGAAGCTGAGGAGAAAGAAACAAAGCAGCTGTGGTTCAATGGAGGTCAAGGGTCACATTCAGGTTCTTAGACTTTTCCTCAGAGGTGGGAGACGTACTCAGATCTTGTACTTGAGTAAAAGTAGAAGTACCAGAGTGTAGGAATACTCAATAAATGTCCTGCATTCAAAATGTTACTCAAGTAAAAGTAGAAAAGTATTGTCATCAAAATATAGTTAAAGTAGCGACAGTAAAAGTAGTCATTGTGCAGATTGGTCCATTCCAGAATAATATATATGATATGTTTTATAATGATTGATCATTAAAGTGTTCTCAAAGCTGGTAAAGGTGCAGCTAGTTTGAATGACTTTGTATACTGCAGGGTAGCTTGGGAATTTACTCCAGGTGGAACTAAAGTCTGATTTAACACTTGATTATATTTCACATTATTAATCCAGATCTGTAAAGGAACTAAAGGTATTAAATACATGTAGTGGAGTAAAAGTACAAAGTAGCAAAAAATGGCACTTAATAAGTACAGACTGTTAAAGGTGATTTAAACCTGAGAGCAGGATTAGCTGAAAAGAGTCCAAGGAAGCTTATTTAAAAGTGAACAGCATTTAATTAAACAAATTATACGGTGATACAAATGGAATGTGTAAGAGTGGTGCGGCTCTCCCGTTCGCGTCGGGTGCCGCAGCCTCCTCCCAGCTGTTGTTTATCGCGTGGACGGGGAAGAGAGAGCGTTTTTTCCTGTCCATCATATGTTATAGTCTATAGTCCTCTCCTATTGGCCAGTGTCGACGGGGGGCGGGTCTTCCTCCCGGGTTCGTTCCTCTGTGGTTAATATCGCATCTAATAAGAGGATGTAGACGTTGTGTGTTTATTGTATAACTCCACAAGCCTTTACTCCTCATATTTCTTACAAGATCCATTTCTAACCGTCTGTTCAGGGAGGAGGAAGTGTTTCACCAGCTGCTCTTAAACAGGGACCATAACACAGCGTTGTGAAATATAGCTATAAATCTCCAGATGTGTAAAAATATGTCCTTTATGTATTGAGAAAATATTCCTACTTATGCTCAATACACTATTTGAAAAGCCTCTTGGATCAGCTGTAAAATGCATCATCACAAAGTTAAATAACAAGCCTCAACAGTTCTTCCTCCACTCCCTCTTGGCAAACTGCCACTGAGAGGTGGGACCACACTGTAAGAGAAGAGTTTCAATTTCCCGGAAATGAAAGCTGATGTTTGTCTGAGCGACAGCAGAGCAGCAGCCGAGACAAGTCTCTGTTTCTCTGAAGAAACACTCAACTGAATCCAGCAGCTTTTTCTCAACAACACAGCAGGACTCTGCAAACACTGGTGAGTACACTACAGACACATCACTTACTAAATATTTAGTCAAAGCTGGATTCATATAAAGAATATTATACAATATAAATGTGTCAGTTAAGATAAAAACCTCAACATTTACATTAGCAACAGCCAACAATACAATGTAAACTCTGTGTAAGTTAGGTTAGAGAGCATACAGCCAAAGCTAGCATTAGCTTATACTTATTTTCATATTTCCTGTATTTGAAAACATCTTTATAATTGACTCTATTAAACAAAGTAGAATCTAAATAGTAGATTTGTTCTGGACTGTCCAAAGCAAGGGATCTGGTGTTATGTTAAAAGTTTTGCTTATAAAAAGGCATGACAATTAGATATTTCATCTCATATCATTTGTACACACTGTGGGAAGTAGCCTTGAGCTTTGAACCTGTTTCTGTAGTAACTGCTGTCTGCCTTTTGAAGCTGATAACGTTTACTGTTTTTTACTAGTATTAACTTCAGTGATGCTCAGCAGGAGGTTTCACTCCTCTGTTCAACAACGGCAAAATCCCCCAACAGTATTAGAGCTTACACATTGTGTTTCTTAGAGTTTAAACTGAATGCTGCTATGACTTTCCAGATTTATTTATAATATTAACAAACAGAGAGATTTTTTTAACATTTAAGAATAACAGTGAACTGCAAATTTGAGCAATCTTTCACCCTCCGCATAATCATGATACATCAGCAGAGTTCAGAATCACCATCTATTTGACTTATAGCAAACAGATTCAAGAGATTAAATCATATATACATTACAGTTTTTGTTTTTTTCACACGTTTTGTCCTCAGAGAGACATGTCTGCTGCCAGCTGTCTGCTGACTGAAGATCAGTTTCTGTGCTCCATCTGTCTGGATGTGTTCACTGATCCAGTCGCCATACCATGTGGACACAACTTCTGTAAAGCCTGCATCACTCAACACTGGGATAGAAATGTCCCGAGTCAGTGTCCCAACTGTAAAAAGGTGTTCAACATAAAGCCTGAGCTGCTGGTCAACACTTTCATCTCTGAGATGGCTGCTCAGTTCAGACAGTCAGCTCAACAGAAAGCCAGCAGCAGCAGCTCAGAGCAACAAGTTGTCAAACCAGGAGAAGTTCCCTGTGACGTCTGCACTGGAACCAGACTGAAGGCCCTGAAGTCCTGCCTGGTGTGTCTGGAGTCCTACTGTGAGACTCACCTGGAGCCTCACCTGACAAGGCCAGGCCCGAAGAAACATCAGCTGATCGGCCCTGTGGAGAACCTGGAAAGCAGGATGTGTGTGAAGCACGATAAACTGCTGGAGCTGTTCTGTAAGACCGACCAGGTGTGTGTCTGCATGCTCTGCACCTATTCAGACCACAAGACACATGATGTTGTTCCTCTGAAAGAAGGATATGAAGGAAAGAAGGCTGAGCTGGGGAAGACAGAGGCTGAAATTCAGCAGATGATCCAGAAGAGACGACTGAAGATTCAGGAGATGAATCGCTCAGTGGAGCTCAGTAAGGAAGGAGCAGACAGAGAGATAGCAGATGGTCTTCAGGTCTTCACCGCTCTGAAGGAGTCTGTTGAGAGAAGCCAGGCCGAGCTCATCGACACCATCAAAGAGAAGCAGAGAGAGACAGAGGAACAGGCTGAAGGCTTCATCAAAGAGCTGGAACAGGAAATCTCTGAGCTGAAGAAGAGAAGCTCTGAGGTGGAGCAGCTCTCACGCTCTGAAGACCAGCTCCACCTCCTCCAAAGCTTCACGTCCCTGAACGCTGCTCCACCCACCAAGAACTGGACAGAAGTCAGGGTCCGTCCACCTTCATATGAGGGGACTGTGAGGAGAGCTGTGACTCAGCTGGAGGAGACGCTCAGGAAACAGATGAAGAAGCTGCTTGAGGTGGAGCTGAAGAGGGTCCAGCAGTATGAGGTGGAGGTGACTCTTGATCCTGATACAGCACATCCTGACCTCATCCTGTCTGATGATGGAAAACAAGTTAAAGACAGTGATGTGAAGAAGAATCTCCCAGACAATCCAGAGAGATTTGATTTGAGTCCTAATGTCTTAGCAAAGCAGAGTTTCTCTTCAGGAAGATTGTATTTCGAGGTTCAGGTTAAAGGGAAGACTGGGTGGGATTTAGGAGTGGTCAGAGAGTCGATCAACAGGAAGGGAAGCATCACACTGACTCCTCAGAAAGGTTACTGGACGATAGTGTTGAGGAATGAAAATGAGTACCAAGCTTGTGCTGTTCCTGGAGTCCGTCTCTCTCTGAAGTCTCAGCCTGAGAAGGTGGGGGTGTTTGTGGATTATGAGGAGGGTCTGGTCTCCTTTTATGATGTTGATGCTGCAGCTCTGATCTACTCCTTCACTGGCTGCTGCTTCAAAGAGAAACTCTACCCATGCTTTGGTCCTGGTGTTAATGATGGTGGTAAAAACTCTGCTCCTCTGATCATCTCTCCTGTCAATCACACTGAGTAGAACAACCATTTGATTTTCTACAGAAAGATTCACTCTCACTAAATGTAATAAATGTATTCAACTGGGGAAGTACATTTTACACATTGTTGATATTTCAGAATCTGATCACATATGGTTCACCTTGATGAGACGCATAAAAACACATCAAATACTGATGAGTATGTTCTAATGTACTCTAGTTTATTCTACAGATTGCACTTCCTGCCGTCATGACTTGAAGTGATCAGAAAACTATTTACTCAGAAATAAACTTTAGCCACTTCTTTATATGTCAGGGGGACAAGAAAAGTATTTATTGTCTCAGAATTGTGTGTTCAAAAAGTGTTTCATACTTGCACACATTACTAGTGGAAGTAATGCTCTCCTTTTTCATTAGTAAAATATTGTATATATTTTTTTATAATTGTCAATTGAGGGGAAAATGATGGGTCTCTGGTGTGTTTTAAAGGGGAAGTTCAGGATTGATTATTGAATTATAGTATATTTGTACAACATGTATTGACAGTTACTTGGAGAATCAACAATATCTGATCATTAAACATTAGGCTGCAGTGGTTTAACAAACCAGGGAAATGTAAATGTTACATCTCAGCTGTTGTGTTATGTTAATTGTATTTCGTCCACCTCTCTGCACACTGCTTGTAAAGTTTGAACAAAGCCTCAATGGATTAAAAAAAGGAACAAAGAATGTTATTTTGTGTGTTTTTTTAAATGTACTAACTGAAGTACAGTTTGCACTAGTTCTGAACTTAGGGAAAGTAGCTTAAAAAAAATGTACTTGACTATTTCCATTTCTACTTAACTACATTTTTCTGATAGATTTGGTTCTTCTTAAGCTTTATGAACTATTTAAAACCCTCTTGGATCAGCTGATCATAGATATTAAGATTGCTGTATATGTTTGTTAGAGATAAGGCCATCAACTGGTTAGCTTAGCTTAGCATAAAGACTGGAAACAGGGGAAGACAAAGCCAGCCTGTCCAAAGGTAACAACATCCACCTATCAGCAGCTCTGAATCCAGTTTGTTTAATCCATACCAAATCAGAGGAGTAAAAACATCAATAAGACGTTTAACAGGGGATTATGGGTCGGGCTATTTCTTGACTGGGACCTAAACAAGTTGCCAAATTGTTTTTACATTTCAGTTATCGTACAGAGATATATTAAGTACACTTAAATGTGTATTTTGTCACTAACTATTTCCCCCCTTTTCCTAGTATATATGCTAAACTAAGCTAATCTAAGTGTCTGATGGCTGCAGCCTGTGTCAGTGTGAGCGGTCTGACTGGTTTGACTGCTTCTAATGATTATGATCTCATTCTTCACCTTGAACACACTCCAGCACTGCCTGTACAGGTGAGACTAACTCACTGCAAACGTCCCGTCTGACTGAAAGATAAATAAAGGGTTTTTTAAATATCAAAATGGCATGAAATATGTTTGTAAAGTCTATTTTATGAATGCCCTGTTGAGAAGATGGAGCTTATCATTTGAAATGTCATTATTTTTAACCTGTTCCACTCTGAGCCTGTTTTTCAGGTCTCAGGCTCGAAAATGACATTCCCAGAACAAATGACCATATCTTCCCTTCTAAAAGGGTTAAATTAATAATCTTTTCTCAAAGTAATGATAAACCTGTGAGTTGGATGTAGAAGTGTCAGAATCAATATAAATGTTTTTTATTTTAAAGAAAATTCAGATTTTACATAGTAAAAAACTGTAAATTATAGTGTCCGTCCAAAAATTATTTTTTACAGATAGTGAAAACTACCCTTGGATGATGGGTTAGTAGACTAAAAGCTTTAGGAATCCAAAGTACAACATATAATAAGTACCCTGTATCAAGATTGATGCAAAACAAGTGAAATTTGACCTTTTTAGAGAGATTTAGCCAAAAACTGGGCCATCTGGGGTCATTTGGGTGGATTTGACCTATCTCTGGCCCCCCTTGCTCGATCTGGTTGGTTGACATACCCTTGTGACCGTTAGAGCCAATAGAATCGAAGGAGGATACCTACATAGACACACATTGTAAAGAAAAAATGTTGCCGCTTCGCGTGTGGAAAGCGAAACTAAACTGGAGGAATGTCTCCTTCTGGAGTTTGGAAACTAAAACGCAGTTGTATTGCTTATGGATTATCAGAAATAATTTCAAAGAAGGCACAGACACATAGGATGAACCTATGGATTAACTGCAGCATCGTTTTTTTATCGTTTTAATGCCATTGAAGACCACTTTTGACCAAGGTAAGCCATATTTATATGTTTAGCTTCTTGGCTCCACATGTGATGATGTACGCTTTCGTTGATAGCGTCGCGAATGTTTATCACTGAGTGTTGAGGTGGGCACCGTTAGATTCAGTGTCTCCAGGACACCAAAAAATAGTGTTTGGTTGTGCATCTAGGATAAGTAATAAGGGAGTTCTGAGTGAGTTTAAGTGCCTTTGTAGGTTCCGTTTTTTCGATCGAGGCTAATTCAGAGGCTGAGTGCTAGCATTGTGGGTTTTTTTTGAATTTTTTTTTAAAAAAGATCAGTTAGCTGAGTTTCTTCCCGTTACATGGATATAACACATTCATAGTTTTATTCAATATTAAGATTCCTTAGACGTTGTTTCCTGCAAATGACGCGTTTATCCGCCCGGTACCGGGGGGAAGGCGTGAAACAGGTTAAAGAGGTGGATGGTGAATAATATTACAATTAAAATGACTTTGTTTTTTATTACAGTACATGTTTTCTGAAATGTTATCTTTAAATATACTAACACATACAGAAACAGCATAGAAATGTGTGCACTGGTTAAAACCAGGATCACATTCTTGTTTTATTGTCGACTTATTAGAGTCAAAGGATTTCACAGAGGGGAGTTTTGATATGGGTTTGTACCACTACATAAATCCAGAAAAACTGTCAGCAGCCTTTAAGAAAAATCTATTCTCCACATGTTTTTTAGGGAAACAGATGTTATAATCCTTAACGCAATCATCAATAATAAGTCTATAAATCTGGCTATTGATGATATATGAACAAACCACTCAGTCCAGATGGGAGTGAAACCAATTTTGATAACATTATTTAAAAAGGCCTTGTATTGTGAATTTACATTTTGCAGTACACAGGTAATTACGTTAAACAAAATAGTAAGTAATTCATATGACCACTTTTTGTATAAACCAAAACGGACATGGATAAGTATGGAGGCCGACAGGGGCCAACGCACTTATTATAAACACGCTGCAGTTTCAAAAACGATGCAAATATAAAAACACAAATGTGCCAAAACACATGCAAAGAAGAATCCTCTTTACCATCTTGACAACACATGCAACGTTTACTAAAAGTGCTGCATTAATGAAACGCTGCACAAAGCTCAACGAAGACCAGGGGACAATAAGAGTTAGTCTGTCTCATAACTGCATCTTTCTGCCGTTGCTTTTAATTGATATATTCAGATCTTAAACTGCTCTGTAACTTTTATTCATGTATTTTTTATTTTAATGTTTATTTTATTATCTTTGCTGTTTTTAAATGCCACTTTCTTAATGTTTTTCATTTTTGTAAAGCACTTTGAATTGCCTTGTGTTGAAAGGTGCTATATAAATAAACTTGCCTCGCCTTGCCTTGTTTTTTATTGGCTTTTCTGGTTTCAGGTGTACATTAAAATGCTTTTGTGTCCTACTTGCTTTATTGTCTTCCTTTAACCCTTATGTTGTGTTCGGGTCTCCCCTGACCCGTTTCAAGTTAAAATTATATAATAACTACACTCTAGTTTGTTGTATCGGAACAAGGCTTCATGATATCCTCCACAACAGCTATATAAACATTACAAATCAGATTTTGACAATTTTTGCCAAGTCTGAAGGTCTCTAAAAAATAAAGTGTATCATTTGGTGTTGGGGTCTGGGGAGACCCAGCAGAATGGTTTTGGGTGACTCGAGGTCAAATTTGGCCCAATCAAGATCCATCTTTGACTTTAGACGCCCCTCCCCCACCCCCTTCATCAACTGCAGAGCCGTATAATAGAAGAGTTGAGAGGATGCGACGAGGAGAGCTTGGACTGTTCCGGGATCGGCCGGAAGAAGGAAGTGAAGTTGGAGACGCGTGGCAGAAAGTTCACAGAGAATCGGAAATTCGGATACATACAGAAACGGTAGCATTGGACTGTTATTTTGGCGGATTTGCATAAACTGTACATTGAGTGTTTCATCATGTCAACCAGCTCAGATGGTAGCCAAAGAAACAATATGGAATGGATGATAGCCAAAGCTGCGAAGAAGAAAAGATCTTTGAGAGACAGAGATAGTTCAGTAAGAGCTCGAAGTTGGTCGGATTGGTCGGGTGAAGCAGACGAGGCTAAGCAAAACAAAAAATCAAGAGTCAGTCAAAATGACAGTCAAGCAATGTTGAATAAAGAAATAGAACACGAGTGGAAAGTGGTAATAGAATTCAATCAGGATGGTGGGCATTACCACCCGATTAAACTTACCAAAGCAATTGAAAAAGAGATTGGAAAAATTTAATTTGCTAAATTCATGAACAATAAGCGGGTATTGATACATGCCAATAACAAACAGCAGCAGGAAAAGATTCTGGGAATGAACTCACTGAATGGGGAGAAAATGAAGGCGCATGTTCCAGGAGCAATGGCGAAACTGAGAGGAGTAATCTCAGGAGTACCATTGGACATGTCAATGGAAGATGTGAAAAGTGAATTAAAAGGAGGCAAAATAGTGGAAGTCACAAGGCTTAAAAGCAAACGGGATGGTACACTCAAAGAAACATTATCAGTTCTCATTCAGTTTGAGAGAATCTTACCTAAGGCAGTACAAATGGGATATTTGAACTTCATGGTTAGGGAGTACATCCCCAAACCTCTCAGGTGCTACGCATGTCAACGAATGGGGCACACAGCGCAGCAGTGTAAAGGACAGCTAAGGTGTGCGAGATGCGGAGGAAAACATGAGTATGGAAAATGTGAAAAGGATGCAAAGGTTAAATGTTGTAACTGCGGAGGAGATCACAGTGCTGCGTTTGGAGGTTGTGAAGTGCAGAGAGAGGCCAGAGAGGTGCAGAGAGTTAAGATTACAAACAAAGTTTCATACGCAGAAGCAATAAAGAAAGTAAGGGGAACAGTAACAATCAATAAGAACCCTAGTGGAATGGAGCAGAGCATTACAATACAAAATGTCAGGAACACACCAAAAAGTAATCTTCAAATCCAACCCCACAGCGCCACCAAGAGTAAAGAGGATGATGATGTTTTAGGAGTGAAAAAGGTGAATTTTGTGGTATTTATATGCCATACTGTAAATGTTGCATTGCAGTTAAAAAAGAAAAGTGATAGAATCAAAGCCATTGTGGAGGCAGCTGGAAAATTCCTTGACATGAAAGATATTAAAGCAGATCAGATACATGCAATGCTAACTATAAATGGAGCTGGGGAAAATGAAAATCAGGATGAGGGTTAGATCCTTAATCATGGTGCTGCACATACTACAGTGGAACGCAAGAAGCCTCATAGCTAATGGTCAAGAATTCAAGAAATATATATATGATCTAGAGGTAGTCCCTGAGGTAATATGTGTGCAAGAAACCTGGTTACGACCTCAATTAGACTTTGTCATTCCAGGATTTAGCTGTATAAGGCATGATAGAGATAATAATCAAAATGGTGGAGGGTGTGCCACGTTTCTC